AAATTTAGTCAGGTCAGCGGAGATGCCTGAAATCGAAAACTGTGCCTCTACCTGAGCAAACCAAATTGCAGGCCGATCAGGCCAGAAAGGAGGAAGTTTTATGGCTACTGTGCATACTGAGGTAGGTTGAGGAAATAATGGCTCTGTGGGGGGTGGGTCCGTTTTATCGACGCATTGCATTTTAAATTTTTGTAACTCAGCCTTTAGGATGGCATTTTGTTGTTGTAACAGCGTATTTTCTTCTCTTACTAATTGTTCGTTTGCCTCCATCATTGAACTTTACGTATACAATTGTAAAAAAAAAACTAAGCATTTATACAATTTAACAACTTAAAAAATAATAATAATAATAAGTAAAGAAGAAAATGAAAATTAATGATTATGGTAAAAGATGGCAAAATACTGACATTAAGAGGCACAGTAAAACAATGAAATAAAATTATAGTAAACAAGAAAATATAAATTAGTTAAATACAGATGTGATGTTAGCACCTACTTACATTTCGTGACTATTTACTTTATAGCATTCATGTAGATAAAACCTAAAACTGTAATTATTTTGCCTCGTAAAAACAAATATTTCCTTACTACTAACCGTACAATAATACCTTAATATTATTATTAATTACAATGTTATACTATGAATTGGTGGAGCAATGAAGGCCCGTTAACAAAATATGATTAACTATTGTTACAAAAGGAACCTTTAAATTAAATTAAAATTTTGTTTTTCTTGTTTTTTTTTATGTCGACAAAGCTGTTGTATATGCAATTATGTAACAAAATTAAATTTAGTTATAGTATAGGCGGAGAATATGAAAAAGTATTAAGATTAAAATAAAATAAAAAAAATATAAAAACACTTCACTGGGTTAATCAGAAAACCCCAAAAAAAAAAAATTAGTTCCGTGTTGTGGAATGCCGCACCAGGTGTACTTGATCACTCAGCTGTGCGCCGCGATGCTGCGCCAAGTGTATATGGTTTGTAGACGATCTTGCCTGAATGCTGCGCCAGGTGTATATAGTTTGTACTCGACCTTGTCTGGATGCTGCGCCAGGTGTATATGGTTTGTACTCGATCTCTATTTGTAACGATCGATCACGTCGGGGTCACCAATGAGGGAGCTCATATAGAGTCCCTTCTTTATTTCGCCTGGTTGTGTTTTATGTAATTAACACCACAGTTGGAACAATATAAATTTTATTGTTGTAGCGGCATAAAGTAATTACATTAAATTAGTTATTATCACATTATAAATTATTTTTATCTTTTTCATATTTGGCGGTAAAAAGGTATTGTGGCACAGACTATCTCCTTTTTCCCACATCTCGTGCGTTCCGGCTTACGCATAATAAAACGCCACAAGTTGGAAGTTGTCCCTAATCGCCCCATTTTACGGTACCGTACCTACTCAATATTTTGATTTTGTAAACAGAACTCTGAACAGAACAGAACGTCCAAAAGAGTAGGTGTAGGTGGCCACTACGTGCGTCAGTCCTAGAAAATACACTATAGTTACAGATTTCAATTATAATTAGAACCTGAATTTATTCTAAATTTCGAAAGTTTAATTGAAAATAATGAATATCTTGCCAAAAAAAAGGTAAGTTGAAACATTTCGACAAAGAGAGTATTATTAGTTGCTCAAACCTTGTCATTTTAAGTAGAACAAGCGACATTACGATCGGATAGATTACCAATCTTCGTCTGTGTACCTTACTCAGCTTCTCGTTTTCTTCTCGTATGCCAACTACTGAGGACATGCATGCATTGAGTAATTCTAATAGCACTGTGTTGGATGATATACTGGTCTATATCGATAGGAAAGCTTATTAAAACATAAATCTGAAGAAGCACTAGTGTCTAAATAAGCTAAAATGGGTTTAAGTTAAAGTTAAATTTGATCAAAACAGACAAACTCTATATGACACTATAGGCGTTTCATCTGCCCAACTACAGCAATCCTGTGCATGTACCAATTTTTCTAATAGATGTACTTTCCACGTGTTTACGAATAAATAAATAACATCATGCAATTAAAAACCAAATCTGCAAAACCTTATAATTTGTCTATTTACTGGTAAAAAATAAATATGTGAGCCCAAATGAAAGTACAAAATGAAACTCACATTGTGATGTCTGTGCTCTCCGCTAGCCACTTAACACCAGGAGACCCATGTCCTCACTCTCCAGTCTGTGCCAGTAAATAAACAGCTTATTACATTATACGTTTTAAAAATATGATTAGGAAATATAATTTTAATGAAGTTAAAATAATATAGATAATTAATTAGTAAAATGTGAGAATGAATGATTAAAACTATTTTGAAAATATTTATGATTTTGATCTTAGTGGCCCAAGGGACTTATTAATATAGAGTTCTATATCCCTATATCCACACTATTTGACTTTATCTTTACTCTGTAGGTGGCATGTTCGGACTAAGGAAAATATTGCAAGGGTTAGAAAGGATGAAGCAGAAGCTGCAGAGAAGGAAAAACAAGAAAGAATAAGAACAGAAACTGCAGATAAAGAGTCAAGGCTCAATATACTAAAGGAAAAAAGCAAAGAGAGATTACTCAAATCAGGAATCCCACAAACAAATGTAGGAAAAAGTGAAATTATAAATGAACATGTCAACTTATTTGCAAATCTTGAAGATGCTATTAAAACAACAAACAAAGAACATGATAAAGAGGTAAAGGCCAAACAAGAAGAATATGAAAAACAAATTGGCTATTTAACTTATCTTGGACAAGATACAAATGAAGCTTTAAAAAAGAAAAATTGGTATGATGTTCCACCAGAGGCTTCTAGATATTCACGCACCAATGACATAAAAGATACCTATAATAAGCTAGTTTTGAAAGATGAAGATGGAAAACCAAAAACAAATTGTGTGGAGATTAAAAATGGAGAAGTCGCTTGGAAACAGAAGCAACGACTAGATCCCATGAATCACATAAAAAGAAACAAAAGNGCTTTAAAAAAGAAAAATTGGTATGATGTTCCACCAGAGGCTTCTAGATATTCACGCACCAATGACATAAAAGATACCTATAATAAGCTAGTTTTGAAAGATGAAGATGGAAAACCAAAAACAAATTGTGTGGAGATTAAAAATGGAGAAGTCGCTTGGAAACAGAAGCAACGACTAGATCCCATGAATCACATAAAAAGAAACAAAAGTTACAAACTTCAAAGTAACGAACCAAATACAAAGGTACATAAGAAAAACAAAAATCGTAATGACGAAAAGTGCCCAAAAATGAAACTACAAAAACTAAGAGAAGCTCGCCTTAAGAGAGAACAGCAGGAAAGGTGTAGAACAGAATTATTTCTAAAAAAATTAGGTGGGTTTGGTGAAAGTTCAACAGAAGAAAACAATGGAAAAAATAAACTGAACATTATTCCTAAAAATAATTCTCAGTTTAACCCTGAATTGGCAAGACAGAATTATAAATGAAAACCATAATATTGAGAAATAAATTGTACCATTGCTAATAACTGGATTGAAATAGACAAAATATGGTGTAAGTTAGAATTACTTACACATACACAATAATTTAATATAATAATTTCGGAGTGAACCAAGAAAAGTTATTAACACTATCGTAATAAAGTGCTAAGTATCAAGTGTCTTTGCTGTTTGAAACAATTGAGCATGTTTAAGCAAAACTAAAATCAAAGTCATGAATTAAAATATTATTTAATAAAGTATTGCAATCAACACATAACCATAATATAAATAAATATATATGATAATGTTTAATCACAAATATATAGCATGACTTGGTTATTTAAATCAGTTTTCTTCTATACTATACGCATCCTTGTGCATATTTTATGACAATGTACAGTAGAACCTTGCCTTGATAACGTAACAACCTCCATAAATTCATATAATTTTGTATTCCCTTCCTCTCGGAGTCCAAAACCTCTTTTACTTAAAATACGAAACCTCTAAAACTTAACGAATAATTTGGGAATCGTACCTCCGTAACTCAAAGTTGTAACCACGACGACCTTTGTAACTTCAATCTTACCTATATCCATGAGTTATTTTAAATGAACGTGGTTCACTGTACGTTAGGACACGTTAACAGAAGAATAAATATACCGTGGTGCTGAGAGCGATGATATATCTATATATCATATTCATATCTATATATCATATTCGTCTATAGACGAAGATTTAAATGACGAGCCACAAGATCCACATACGATGTAAACTGTAAACACTTTACGATTTTTCCTAGATCAATGCTGTAACACAGTGGATGACATTTCCTCTTCTTTATTTAATATTGAAAATAAAATTAATTTAGAAAGTATCAATAGTTGGAACCAAAAAAGATTACTTTTTTATGTAGAAAATAAAGTACATTAAATGTATATTTAACCCTAAAATAAAGTATGTATGTACTCTTTAATTCCTAAACAAAGCTCATAAACGGGCTTCTGTAAGTAAAAATATAAATAAACAAATAAAAACTCCTTTAACCCCTAATGAGTAAAAACCTCAATAACTCTAATTATTTAACGTTTCTCTTCAACTTATCGAGGTTCTACTGTACCTACCTGCCCGCAGTGGCTTATGGGACAATGTCCCTAACAAAACTTCCAATCTGGGAAATTTTAGTAGTGGTAGGACCTCTTGCGAGTCCACACGGGTAGGTACCACCACCCCGCCTATTTCTACCGTAAAACAGTAATGCGTTTCGGTTTGAAGGATGGGGTAGCCGTTGTAATTATACTGAGACTTTAGAATTTATATCTCAAGGTGGGTCGCGCATTTACGTTGTAGATGTCTATGGGCTCCAGTAACCACTTAACACCAAGTGAGCTCGTCCACACATCTAAACAATAAAAATAAAAAGTCTTATACATGCGTATACTATTGGGTTTGTAATAGTGTTTTTAACAGTAAACACTAGATTCCATTAAGTTACTCTTTTTGTAAGGACATATACCTCCTCGACCTTGCCATCAACATTTTCCCACCCTCTCGTGTACACATATTATAATACATATAGTTAAATATTTCTATCACTACATTTAAATTCCGTGTTGATTTAACAAAAAAGATGTTTAATGGGATTTTAATTTTTCGATTAAAATAACAAAAAAGTAACAGTAGGAAAATTGTTTATTATTTCGATAACTTTGTTTGTTATGACAAGATAACTTTTACATACATTAATAGGCACTATACATCGACGGTAAACAGTCGACGTTTCCCTAAACACGTCATTTCGGATCCTCCCGATCCACTAACGGTGCTTTTAGGTACCTCAAGCACCGGTCACCGTCCAGGGTTCTACGAGTAAACTAACCCATAGACACAGCCCACTGAGTTTCTGGCGGGTCTTCTCAGTCGGTCGTGTTTCCGATCCGATGGTAGGTTCTGCGGAGCTCTGCTCTTGCTAGGGCCAGTGTTAGCAACACCTCCTAGTTTGAGGCCCGAGAACTCACTTACACGCTAGGGTAAAGGGCAGCCCTCAAGCCTATCAGCATAGGTATGGAAAAAAAAAACAGTTGACTTGAGCCATGGATCTCCTTCGGATGCGCTCGGGCAGCTGTTAGCAAATCCCACCCCTCCTAGCTTTTGCACGCCCAAAGTGAAACTAGAAAGACCCTGGGCCACCAGTAATACCTCATTCATAAAAATAAATATTCTTCAACTGATCTTGTTTATTACAAAACAAATGTAAATATTACAGACTGCACTATTTTTATTCCTATTTTGTGGACGTGCGTGTAAAAAGCATTAACGGTAGTTTATTTTCCATTTTTTCAAAAGGATAATTGAAAGTTTCACAGAATAGTTCTAAAACTCGAACTACATTGGGTTGACCCTCGTTAGACGATTCGGTGCGCTTTGATCTGTAAATATAAATCGATTCATTACAGAATCATGTAAGAGACTCACTAAATCAAATTGATTGACATATTTTCTTTATTTTAGACTTTATATTTTTATGCGTTTGATTCTTTTAACACGATGTTATTCCTGTCACGTGGAAGTCATTCGTGAATACCTACATGATAATACATATTTCCCAAGAATAATTTTATTGTTGTCTGCCTGCGGGATTTGGAAACACCGACAAATTGTATCATCGCTTGATACGATTGCACCCGAGCTCTTATTCTTTAGGCCCCAATCAAAGCACATTAGGCAATATTATCGTATGTAAAAAAATCAAAATACCTCTCACCTTGCATAACTGCAAAGAAAATCAATGAACAAATTTAAGTTGCTAGTTTTTGATTGGCGCAGAACTGTGTATATACCCACCAACAATGGATACCCGTCTATATTTTCTCCCGATTTGCGCATTATTAGGTCACCTGAAAATTTTTATACGTAGGTAGGTAGATTATCTAAATTATTAATTGCCTACGTTTGGATGTTAGGGAAACGAATCACGCCAAAATTTCGTAACGCATTTGTATAATATTTCACGAAAAGATAATTTTTGGCGTGTAAATGTAATTACTGGCAACGCCGTATATAAATATAGACTAATCAATATGATGTGTTCGTTGGTTCGTTATTTTAGGTAACGACGGATCTACAAGTCGTCCGGTAATTTTTGGATCAGAGAGTAACGCAAGCAACTGTTTATCGCGGGAAAAACCTTTTTTTTTTTCTTAATTGCAAATTTGAAGCTGATTAAACTACGGGGGACGCGCCCAATTATGGATGTCAGTTTCCCCAAGTCAGTCTGGCCCTATGTATCTACGTGGGGGACAAAGTTTCATTAAAAAAATCACGAAAGTTAAATTCATGTCTATTGATGTGGAATAGAATTTCAACCACATTCAACAATAGCGCCTATTATTTTGGAAATACTTCACACCGAACCCCTGGTGTTCTATAAGTGGCATCATTAATTATTGAATTAAGAACTATAATACCGTACTAAGTAAGTTGTAAAGTCACGATTAAGAGGCGACAAAATTTCTAAATTAGTCAAAAAAAATATGCAAACCTGTTGTTTGACACAGCTGGAGCTTTGGTAAGTTGGCTATAAGAAGTAAAGCTGTGATCTTTCCTAGATCTGGAATCAGAAACTCTTTGCCAGTTCTGACGTATATTTTGTCGAATGGTTCTGAAATTCCACTTCGTACTAAATGTTCTTCTAAATGTTGAAGTAGTTTTGTTGACAGCTTTGGTTTCGAAGCTAAGCTTGCTGTAGCTTTCAATTCGTTTAACAGCGATCTGAAAATTCAGTTATCTTTAACGACATATAGGTGTTTTTAATTATTGTGACCTTACAAGACTATATTTTGCCTGGCTATTGTGGGAAGATATGAGTACGCGCCCCGATCACCTGGGACTGCTATTAAATTCTCGTTATTCGGGTTTATTATCCGTGCCTACTTTACTAACTTACTCTCATCACTACATAGTATAAAACAAAGTCGCTTTCTCTGTCCCTATATCTGTCTGTCCCTATGTATGCTTAAATCTTTAAAACTACGCAGCGGATTTTGATGCGGTTTTTAATAGATAGAGTGATTAAAGAGCAAGGTTTATATGTATAATAACATCCATTAAATAGTGGAGAAATTAATAATAAATTACAGTTTCCGAAGCGAAGCGAAGGCGGGTCGCTAGTATATAATATTCTCGGATAAACTCATTAAGCGTACCACCACCACTTCTAACTTTTCAACTATGTTGCTGATTTTTTACGTAGTATAGTTTCCGTTGGTATGTCCTATAAATTTAGTATGCATGACATAGACTAGAGGACTGCACACTGTGTGGATAATCACATAGATACCGGTTTATTTACAGCAGATACTTACTCGTTTAAGGTCCTCAATGACGACTCTAGGTGCGCTGAATCAAATTTACAACTCGTGTTCAATTGGTAAAGAATCTGTTTCCTCAAAATTTGTAAGGTACCGATAAGTACAATTACATCGGACAGCTGTTGAATGGCTTTCGTCCCTTTATTCATTATTTGTTCCATTTCTTTGGCATCATAACTACTGCTCAAGACAGTGATCTTTTCATGATTACTTTTGATTATTCCTTGAACGTTCTGCAGTTGGTTTTTAATCATGAAACCGTACAACGTATCTAAGCCGTGAAGGCCTACAACACCGATTGCTTCATTTAATTTGGCAAATGTCTTAGTATTGACAGTTTCGGTTTGAGTCTTCCCATCAAACCACGCTGCGCACACGCTTACGTAAATAGATACTCTAAAACACAATAACTCATTTGAATATCCGCAATTATTGCTAATACAGTCAACCTTGTATTTTTATAGCTTACCGTGCGTCTGTTAGCTGTACTATTTGTCTAGCCAAACTTCCCATGAAACCTGCCGAAGGACTATATAGTGCTACTCCTTTTCGAAGGCTTATTTCCTTTGAAACGTTCTCGTTTATAATGGCAGAGACCTACACAGCGTAAAATAATTTAATTTATTGTTTCAATAACAAACCTTTTGCCGAATTAATTAGCAAAACGAAATAAGATAATTTTAAACAAACTTCATGTCAAAGAAAGAGGAAGTCCATAATTCAACACGAATCGTTTTAACAACGCTATCATGTCAGAATAATCGTTATTTTCTTGTTTTAAGTTAATCCTCTTAGATTAAACTGCATCAAGAATGAACTTCGCGGGGAAACAAACCCACGAAGGCTACAGAGTTAAGTTTACTTTTGCCTACCGTCTAAAAGGTTTTAATTTTAATAAAAAGCTAAGAAATGACCAGTGAATTCTTGGTTCTGAATGTTAAATTAGTTTCCCTAGAAGATTTTGATTTCAGACAGAAATTCTTCGTCTTTATTAACGCGGTCATAACAATCGGGTTATCACCGATCAACCCTCTTCATTCTAGTATCACAAGAATATTACATAAAGACTGTCGGGAAAATGAGAAATTAATAGGTATTTAATTGGAGAATATTCGGTTCCAAATTTAAATGCAATTATTGTTTCTTTTTATTGTAAAAGTTTTAAAGACTAATAAACAAAGTTATGCGCGCTTAAGGAAAAATTTGATTAACGCATTGAACATTTTGGTCCAAATGCGGTTTTTTCTTTCTTTCTTTTTAATATGATACAAATCCATTTCTACCTGTTTTTGCCATATTCGTAACCCGTGAATGTTTATATAATCTTGAATGTATTCTAAGGATCTTTTGTATCCGTCCATACTTTCGGCGAGTTTTTGTAATCGAGTTAATAGGTTATTCGCTGTAAGTTGTAGTTTTTTTCCTTGAGGCTCTAAGAACTCTTCAAATTTACTACTGATATGTCGGTCCAGCTCCTTTAGCAATCCTTCTTCTAATAATTCTGCTGGATCTACTCGTATAACACCCACTAAAGTAGACCTCATATCCAAAATCCCTAGGAAAATGAAGAAATGTTAACTTGAAAAAGTATTCAATAAATTTACACTATTGTAAAGTGCACAAACCAGTTGTAAATGTTGATGCGGTATGTGTTAATTTCGCTACCTCCATCCTATGTTCCAATTGTGCAAACTCTCTCAATTTCTCTTTGTCTAATTTCGTAGGAACTTCTTTTATAGTCCAAGTTTGCAAATCTATAATTTTTTTTACTATTGAAAAAACCATTTCCGGAATGACTTGTAATACTTTTTGTATGTACTTAATTAGTTCGTTACTGTAATATTGGGAGACAGATACAAGATCTTCGCTGTGAGATTGATTGATTCGTAGCAATGGAATTTCCATAGCACTTGCCAGTTTAAGGAACAGCGCTCTTAATCTACTTGTCACTGTTGGATTCTCTTTGATGCTGTCTTGCATGAATTTTGTATAGAGGTCTATTGTACACCATGCGTAACTGACATCGGCAACTGTTTCTAAAGTCACCAAATAATCCTCCTTTAGAGAAGCTGTCCGCAATAAATTCTTGAGTGCATCTTTACTGTCTGTTAAAAATTGAACGATTGTGGAAGTACTTTTAATGCCATGAAATTCCTCGACTTCATCTAATGCCTGTAGAAGTTGGGTAACTTTTTTAATCGATTTTGTTGTGATCGGCTCCCCAAGAGAAGCAACCTGCTTAGAAATATTTTCGAACCAAAGTTTAAGTTGATCATTTTGAGGTATTTTTGTTAAGGATTTTACTCCGGAGAATAATTCGGAAAGGCTACTCAGAGCTTCAACCGCTTGAGTTTTGTTTGAATTCCACGCTTCATTTTTATTTTCAAGTAATTTATTTAAGCTTTCTCTGACTTTCAGTTCTAGTTCTGCAGTGCTTATTAAAAGCTCCAATAATTTTAGTGGTTCATAGCCTGATTCTTTTGTGACGGTTTCCTTTAACTGTTTGCTTTTTTTATTGTTTTCAAAAAATATTGCATCACTACTGTGTAATAATAACCATCTAATTATTAGATTTGAATTCAGAAGCAAATTCAGAATTTTATTTATATTGTCTAATACAAAATCGTCGTTCAATGTTCCTTCCTTCAATAAATGATGTGTTTTATTTATGACTATAGACACATAGCTAGTTCTCTTTGAAAAAATTTCTTTGATCGTTCTAGTATTGCAGGTTACGGCAAGTGCTGATCTAGCAGCTTTAAAGTTATCCCAATAATCTACTATATTTATGGTAACACCCATATAAACAGGTAACACCCAATTGCTCGGAAAAAATTTGTCTACAATTTCTCGCATTTTTGAAGTATCTGTATGGAGGTAATGTGGAGCAAAAAACAAACATATAAAAAGCATGCTGGCTTGTGAAGCTAGAGCGGGAGCTTGATGTTCAGATAGGGTATAAACTGCCAGCTGATTGTAAATGTCATCAGATCTTAGCTTGCCCAAAACTTTCTCTATGAAGTCATGTCTAATATTAACTCGGCTGAAAACAATTTTAAATGTGTTGATTCAATATTTTATTTACAATTAGTATACATACTTTCAATTTATACTTATTATTATTAGTACAGATTGCAAATGTTTATCGAATATTACCTAAAATACTCGACAGGATATTCTGCGGGTCTTTTTCCGTTCTGTTGATCATAACCAGTATCTCTTAACAACTTGCAAACATCATCAATATTAGACTGAGATTGACTTGTGCTGTAGCGATAAAATGCCACAAGAAGTCTCTCTCTCATTGGGCCAGGAATAAACAGGTCACATAATAAAAGCATGGCCCCATACAAATATAATGATTCACACTGGAAAAAAATTCAGTCTTTAACAATTTTGTAAAGGTAGTTGTGTATTGACAGATGCCAGATTCTCGCTTATGATAGTTTCAAGATATGCTTGCACATATACATTTTATGAAGCACAACATTTGAACCGTCGATCTACTGAGAAATTTCACCCACTCGGTGGAAGATCTTCCCTTTGTTGTTCAACCTTCCAAATGATGAAGATAGTATGATTATTCATACTATTTCATATACTATTCATAATCTTATGATTAACATATTTTTTTTATAATTTCCAAGTCTTATATTTGAAAATAGTCGTCGACGATAACACCATGAGAAGTTATAAAAAAAATGAGAATGTTTAGATTAAATAGTAAACAATAAAAAATGTGAATAAGTACATGAAGATGAGATAAAACAACAACTATATTCCGCAGAGCGTGGGCTCTATGTGGCCTATTTTTCTGGGTTAGGGGCTGAACCCCCAACGAGGTCCCCGCCCCGGGTATGTGGGATGGGACGTTCCGCAAATCTCGGGTACGACTCCCCTGCCCTCTCGACGAAACGTCCTATCTCCCAAGGTCAGAACTTGTGCGGGGTAAGGGGGTTATTGCGGTCAACACTGCAACCAGACGCGCAGCTCACCCCAAGGACGCCCGGCCGACAGAGCGTTCGAAGCGAAACGTACGTCTGAACGTGTCAGCACGGCGGCCTGTCAGGCCTCCCAAGCCCACTTAGACAAAGCGGCACAACACGTCATTTCGGATCCTTCCGATCCACTGACGGTGCTTTTAGGTACCTCAAGCACCGGTCATCGCTCTCGACGAACCCGTCGCTTGCGACAAAAGGCTCGACGACACAGCCCACTGAGTTTCTCGCCGGATCTTCTCAGTGGGTCGCGTTTCCGATTCGGTGGTAGATTCTGCGAAGCACGGCTCTTGCTAGGGTTCTTGTTAGCAGCGTCGTCAGGTTTGAGCCCCGTGAGCTCACCTACTAGTTAAGGTTACGCTGAAATAGCCTCTCAAGGCTATCAGCTTAGGTAGAAAAAAAAAACCTCCCAAGCAATACCACTGTTGTGCCGGCATACCCCCAGGGCCGGAACCAACCTGTCGGGTCGACGGTCAAAGAGGACCTTGGCCGCCGCCACGACATGCCATTATCCCGATGCCTGCACGCTAGAGTGACGGTAGCGTGCTGCGCAGTCAGGAGCTCCTGAGGTCGCCTCGTTTTTTTTTTTTTTTTTTATTGCTTAGATGTGTGGACGAGTTCACAGCCCACCAGGTGTTAAGTGGTTACTGGAGCCCATAGACATCTACAACGTAAATGCGTCACACACCNAGGTCGCCTCGTTTTTTTTTTTTTTTTTTATTGCTTAGATGTGTGGACGAGTTCACAGCCCACCAGGTGTTAAGTGGTTACTGGAGCCCATAGACATCTACAACGTAAATGCGTCACACACCTTGAGATACAAGTTCCAAGGTCTTAGTATAGTTACAACGGCTGCCCCACCCTTCAAACCGAAACGCATTACTGCTTCACGGCAGAAATAGGCGGGGCGGTTGTACCTACCCGTGCGGACTCACAAGAGGTCCTACCACCAGTAATTACGCAAATTATAATTTTGCGGGTTTCATTTTTATTACACGATGTTATTCCTTCACCGTGGAAGTCAATCGTGAACATTTGTCAAGTACGTATTTCATTAGAAAAATTGGTACCCGCCTGCGGGATTCGAACACCGGTGCATCGCTAGATACGAATGCACCGGACGTCTTATCCTTTAGGCCACGACGACTTCAAAACCTCCTCGTGGTCAACACACGCGAAATAAATAAATGTTTACGTAGTATATCTTTATTCAGAGGTCCGAATGTACACAAGATACAGCTTTCATTTGGTTTCTGAAAGCATACTGGGAAAGCAGAACAAAAAAATTTGGATTTATTTCAGATTCAGGCGTCAATGTATGCTAACAAAGCTTAAACATATGTTTGCTTGAAAATTTGATCCTTGAAGTTATTTTGTTACATGAGTTACACAATTGTCTTCAGGAACATAAGTTGATTCTAAAATCCACCGCTTAGGGTCTATTCTGGTGCTTGTGTGCTATGCCACATCACTCAGTCACCCTTAAAATTGGTGTTATGCATTTTTTATTTCCATATTTTGCAAGATGGATGGATGGAGAGTTAGAAGGTAGGCCAAATGTCAATAAATAAAGGAATTGACAATCTGTTTAAATATATTAAATCCCAGTTCATTAAATGAGGCCAGTTCAAAAACAGATGAGATTGATTTGTGTAGTTTAGTGTTTAAGAACCACATACTTTATATCAAAACTAATAACATGACTTACCAATAGTTGTTTTCCTTCAATGTCCTTGATAACAGTTTCCATGTTTTGTTGGATGAACGCTTCATCTTGCAATTGATCTATGAATACATTCAGATCAATAATATATTGATATATGTTTTCAAATAGAAAATAAAAACGTGTAATTATTTCCAGATAGTTTTCCTTTAAATCATCATCTAAATCTTGCAGTTTCTGAAAACAGTATCTTTCAGCAAGGAAATAATTTAACAATTTAACAATTATCCTTAACTTATTAGGTTTACTTTAAATAAAAATAGTCAATTGCTACTACCTGATCACATTTTTACTTATTAACAGTACGATTCTGCTTAATGCTGGGCATATGTTTCATTAAAGTAGAGCTTAGGGAAGCCTAATGCTATGTGCAATTTCAGGGAATTCCACAATTCAAATAAATGAGTGTTACTCAAACCTAAAAAGGGTTAAGCAGGCTCTTATTGTATATTTGATTTAAAATAGTACATTGAGCCTCACACAAAGGACAAAAGTCTGCTGTTTTATCTTAAGAAATATATAATGATTTCTTTGAATAATACTTACAGAATTCACATTAATCTTAGCTTCATGGGCATCAGATATTCTAAAATAACTGAAATCCAATATCACATCTTGGTACTTTTGTTGTATTTCTCTACTTTCCAATCTGTAAAATAGCCAGGGAAAAAAATAGTTTCAAAACAAAGAAACATTTTAAATAAGTGTTATAAATATTATNAGAAATATATAATGATTTCTTTGAATAATACTTACAGAATTCACATTAATCTTAGCTTCATGGGCATCAGATATTCTAAAATAACTGAAATCCAATATCACATCTTGGTACTTTTGTTGTATTTCTCTACTTTCCAATCTGTAAAATAGCCAGGGAAAAAAATAGTTTCAAAACAAAGAAACATTTTAAATAAGTGTTATAAATATTATATAAAGGGGTGAAAGGCTTATTTGTTTAAGCGACATCTTTGAAATTTTATAGGAGAGCTATTTAATTTTATAGTTTAAAATTTGGAAAAAACATCAAGTAAAAAAACTTCTTCAGATATTTGAATGTTGTAAACATAATTGAAGTTTGATTAAAAATATTGAATTGTTATAAGATAAAAATAGCGTATAGCCTACCACCCCTCGATATGAGTCGTTTATTATCAAAGGTGGCAATCTGTGCATTTGGACAAATTTTTTTTATTGATATGTCAATACAGATTGATTTTAATATAATCGTCTCTTTCAAAGAATACGGTTCAAAACCTGCATTAAATAAAGGTTAATACTTAACCTGTTATTTATCTAAGAGGTCGTTCAGAAGAGTTTTGTGACTGCCAATGGAATACAAAGTCAATAATTCGTTTTTCTGATTTACCAATAATTGTCCAAAAGTCACATTGCCGGCTTTGATAATAGTCAACTCATATATAAGATTACATTACATGTGTAGATTGCCTAATAAATTCATTTTGAAAGTAGGGCTAATCAATTTGGAAATAGGGCTAATCTTTAAACAATTTGATAGACAACGACAATTATTTTAACACCAGTACTACGTACCTACCAATTACTGGTGATAAGACGAGTAGGAATCACCATCCTACCTATATATTATTATGCCATAAAGCAACTGTGTGTTTCGTATTGAAGAGAGAAACGGTCGTTCTACTTTAAATGGGCTACGAGCTCATCAAGCAATCTATACATTAATAAACTATTAAAATACTTACAAGTAAACTTTTGGATTATGGTCTTTGAGTCTAAGTATTTCCGCAATTATAGCATTACCATGAGAAATTAATTTGAGAAGGTTTTGAGAACAAAGGTTGTCTTCGGACATAAACAGTTTCATATTTAATGTAGGTACCGTATTTGATTTGTTATACACAATCACAAGAATTATTCTTTCTATACCTACCTACCTTACATACCTTTATTTTTCCAATTGGAAAGGCAAATGTATCATACCATATAGCCTAATCTTTTATATATATTTTTTATATGAAACAATATTTTATGAAATGAACTTGATAAATATGAAACATGGCATGAAATGAATTGAAATGATATGAGATGAAATATACTCTCAGTAAAATGGTGGTCATTTACTGAAACTTTTTATGTGGACTTTTTGGAGGATCCCGAGAAGTTACGTTCAGCGGGGCTCACTAAATTTGGCCCGCCTTTTTTTTATTTTCAGTTTATTTTTATTTTTAATTATTTGTTTGTAGTTAATTATTTGTTGTTTGTGCGTTAATGTTCGAATGTAAAAATTGTTTGTTCGTCTTTTATTTATTTATAATTAATTAAACAAATGATCACCCTTAAGATGCCCCCCCCCTTACTAGATATCTTTATTTTTATCGCTCAGATTAATTAATTTTGATCACTTATCGTTTGTTCGACGACTATTGCGATGAAAATGCGACGTTTTGATATGATGCTGTGATGACAGACTGCTTCTGCAGAAATAAGACTTCGAGAATTGGGATTTAGTTTACATATGTCATCACTATTACTCTATCAATATTTTTTTCTTTCACATCTGTACGCCGCTCTCATATTTTTTAATTTCTTTAAATTGACACGTTCTTTTCAAATTTTTAGTAATCTTTTGTAAGCATTGTAAATGTTTCTTTTCGAGCATCTCAGCTGCTATACTACTTGTGAGATGTATCCCACAAACATGGAAAATCGTTGTATAGTTAGTTTGGCAACGATTTTCTCCCTGGTCTAAATGAGCGTTTGTATGATTGTCCGTTTTGGCGTTCCAAATATAACCACATAGTCGTAATTTGTTCGGCCTAACTAACCATCCAAACCATATCCGATGTGCAAACTAGCGAACTGGCGGACTCAGTTTAAAATAATTATGTTCGCAGGACTACTCTACAGACGGTAAGATTTGGTTCAATTGCGAACCAGATTCGTGGTCCGTTCGAACCAAACTCGAGCTTGTGTTAATTAAGATAATGTTTTTAAACTGAACTCTAAGTAATATTAAGTGTAATATCTATACCAAGTAGTCTGTGGTAACATTGCCGAACTTTTTGGTAAGCCTAGTGTTACATACCGGTAAAATGGGGCGATTAGGGACAACTTCCAAATTTATGACCAATTTTAAGGTAGTTGTTGATGTATATAATGCTATATCAGGATTAAAATGATTGAGTCTTGGGGGCATCTTTGTTATCGAATTTAAAACTATGCAACTAGCATTCCAGTTTTTAAGCAAAAAAGGCAAAAATAGGTGTAATCCCTATTTACCCGGAAATTGCGGTTAATTGGGACGAAATGAGAAATTTGCTAGGGTTGGCACTACTTGGTTTTAATTTATTTATTTTATTTACTTGTGATTAATTTATATTTACTTGGGAAATGATCCACGACAGATTTGTCCTGAGACAATTAAAAAAAAACATCTTTTTCATCACTTAAAATTAGTTCAGCGCAATTGGACAACTCCGAATGAACATTGACGGAGACCACGCTACCGTGGACATTATTGTAGTCCCAAAGGATTCTGTATATGGGTGAGTAAGCACCTAAATTCGAACGAGTGAGCTTTCATAAAAACGGTTTATATTTCTTCGTTCTTGGTAAGTACTTAGGGGCTGATATTTTTATCTGGGTTAAGAGATTAGGTGTGTCGGTTATTCCATGGACTAATCTGATGAATGCCCCCACTCTGAACAAATATTAAATATTTTATTATGTATTACTTAGACATTTTTGTCCACCTCGAGATTTCATTGTTCTTGTTACATGTCTGTGCAAAATCGACTTACTTAAATTAAATTGCTTAGCTATTTCAACTAAAGACTTATTCCCAATTTCATAGGCTTCTATTGCTGTTTTCAATATTAAGGGATCATATGTCTTATAAGGCTTTGCACTCTTTGATACGTAAACGCGAGGCATATCTAAAAATAGAAAACAATACGTAACTAATAATATAAATATTTACCAAACAATAAAATAACACATTGATAATTTTAAATAAAAGTTCTAGACAAAGACATCATGAATAAACCAGATTTTTACCAACAAATTTAAAAAATATTGTTATAACTACATAGACAACCCTACAAACCTGTACCTATTTATACTTAGGTCGTTTCCATTTCACGTATTCTCATCTCAATTGACCCCTTTTCCGTTGTTATTTGTACCTAAGACGTCCCTAATATCCCCCAAAATAACAGATTTTTACATGTATTTTTATTTTATCAAATACATTAAGACCAATAACAACTGAGACTTACCTTTAATATATATGATGGTTCAAACACTAAATAACGTTTATAAATCACAGTCGTCTTCTATTATTATCAAATAAATAAAAGAGAGCAATGTTTCTAGCACTAAAATAATTACCACCACAGGAAGTTAATTTGAAACGCGATTTTTTATAAGTTAGCAGCTATTATCATGCATATTCAGAGTTGTTTTGTGAACTTTCAACATTCTACTATTAAACTACAAAAAATGGAAGATTTGGCAACGAATATAAAACTAATATTGAGCGTCGAAAGATTTTCCCGGTTTTTTCCCGATTCGCCTCTCAATCCCTAATCGCCCCATTTTATGGTACTCATAATTTTTGGCGGGAACGCGAGGAGTGAAGTTGTGTGATTTGTTTTATTTTGTCTATTTAGTGTTTCTTCGGGTTTAAATGTGTAATAACGGTGGTTACCTAAGTGTTTCATATCTGTGAAAGTGCACAAATGTGGGAAAATAAAACAAAACTGCTGGAGATAGCTTCTCGGGATTCTCCCAAAAGCCCACTGAAAAAGTCTTAGTAAATAACCACCATTTTACNTGTGAAAGTGCACAAATGTGGGAAAATAAAACAAAACTGCTGGAGATAGCTTCTCGGGATTCTCCCAAAAGCCCACTGAAAAAGTCTTAGTAAATAACCACCATTTTACTGAGATTATATTTCATCCCATATCATCTTATCTCATTTCATCTCAGTTGTCTCAAATTAATCATCTTCATTTCACTCCATTTCACTTCATACTAGCATATGTCATAAAAACAAAAATAGATATTAAAATAATACTTGACCTAAAGGTTTTAGTTACCAGGACATAAAATCCATTAAACATTGTCAAATGCCAAGAGCAGTGATGCCAGGTGCACTGTAATTACAGTATTACTGTAATTTTACTTTTAATTACACACTGTAATTTTGCTGCTTTTGCTGTACACTGTCCATTCCAGCTATACAGTATACAGTGAACAATGAAAAACGTAGTTACTTTTAATATTAACCACCAAAAAAAAGTAGATTCACCATTCATTGCGTGAAACGAACCGCGCTGTGTTCTATTTCAGGTAAGCATTAATTACCTTTTGGGCCGGGGAACTCCCTCAGAACGAGAAATATATTATGGACAACTATTATTTCACAAAATTAAGATGTTTATATTTAGCATATTCTTTCTTTACTGTAACGTACCCTTGTAATGTTGCGGATAACAGTAGGTAAGTTTATAACCTTACAATGAAGTGTTCATTTGAAATAGTGGCTACGTTGTTCGCATTAATTGTATTATAATCAGTATTACTTTTAAAATAGCCATTTACAAATGTTGGCTCGTGAAAGCGACGATGAAGGACCCTCCACTCCGAAAAAAGAGAACTTATAAGAAGAAATTTCCGAAAAAAAAATCTAATAAAATTATGTTTTTTTCACTGTAAATAAGTTTTCTGATTACTGTATTTTCCTACCGATCTTCTGTAATTTTACACGTGAAACACTGTATTTTTTTCAGTCCAATCTGGCAGCACTGGCCAAGAACCAAAGGCCAAAGTACTACAAATAAGTAGTACCTTACCATCTTATTTCTAGCAAGAGCCATTGTTAACGGCAGTGTCTGAATAAAGTTTTAAAAAATATATCGCATTTAATTGTAACAAACATGACATCATTGTTAAGTTATGAGACTTTGGTACACGCTATAGCTGGTGCTACTGTATGTATACGCAATATATTGTTGACATTTTTAAATACAGATACTTTGTATAACATAAAAAATTAAATATTTTAGGGCAGCGTCGTGGGCATGACAATATTTTATCCTTTAGATACACTCAGGTCACGGATTCAAGGTATGTAAATAAAACTTGTGCAAGTAGTGACATATTTTCACTGTAGAGCTAATCTTATTAACTAAGTACTCTTATTGCTTATTAAAAGACATGAAAAAATCTGTCAACATAATCAGCCTAATATTATTTACAACCATGTCAATTATTCTCATTAATGTTAGTCACGACTAAAAAAATAATAATTTCATAACATATTAATTTCAGTTGAAGATTCGAAGAAGTTACAAGGATCGACACTGGAATTATTAATAAAACTAGCCAATGAAGAAGGTATTGAGTCTCTTTACAGAGGGCTATCACCAGTTTTACAGTCACTTTCAGTATCCAACTTTGTTTACTTTTACTCATTCCATGCATTACGAAAACTATCTTCCCAGCCAACATCAGCATTGCGTGATCTACTTTTTGGTTTAATTGCTGGAAGTATCAATGTTATTTTAACATCACCACTATGGGTTGTAAATACAAGAATGAAGTTGGAAAAAAACAATTACAAAAATTTATTTGAAGGTCTCCTTGAACTGGCAAGAACAGAAGGCGCAAAAGGCCTCTGGTCTGGAACTGTTCCTTCACTACTTCTGGTTTCAAATCCAGCTATTCAGTTTATGGTGTATGAATCTCTAAAACGAAAATTTATGTCCCAAGGCTCATTTCATACATATACTTCATTTTTGATTGGGGCTACAGCAAAAGCTGTAGCCACAACTCTAACCTACCCCTTGCAAGTAATTCAATCTAGACTTCGTGCTGGTACAAATTTGAAAACAATGGTGAAAGATATTAAGTCAAAACCATTTTCAATTTTCCGTGGACTGGAAGCCAAGCTTTTGCAAACAGTCATGACTGCTGCTTTGATGTTTATTGTATATGAAAAACTTGTTATTTTAGTTTTAACTATTATGAGAGTTAGGATGAAAAAAATTCACTGACTATATAAAAATTAAGTTTCTCAGAGTTATAGATTAGAAAAATTTAACATCCTGTTTCTCATTTAATAAGTCTAAATAATAATCCAATAAAAGAAAGAAATAAGAAATAGCACATAGCGAACATCAAGCATTGGTAAATAAGGAACTTATTACCGAAACTGAATGTTGTAATTTACACGACCTTGTATAATTAGTATAAATGTGCTAAGTTTAATAATGGCATGTCTTATTTTCAATGTCAAATATAGCAGAGTGTAGTTTCTGTTTTTCACACGACCAGTTTTATTCTATTTATAAAGAATATCTAACCATTAATTTAATATTAAAAATTTACCATTTTTTATAAAAAAATTTGGGGAAGGGGCAGGAAAATTAAATAATGGTTGTGGTAATTTAGGTATGGATAATAAGGATATTATTATATTTGAAGTAGACGTTAACTATGTAGGACTAATAAAAACGAGACGTATATGCAATAGTTATTACTTTTCAAAATCTTACATGTATGTATCTGATGTCATTCCAACAACAATCTAATCATACGACAATCATGCATTCTGTGCCAGTTTTAGCATTAGCAATAGTTTAGTTATATTATTTATTGAACATGTTAGAGAAGTAACAATTTAGGTGTTATGTACAAAAGACTTAACACACATATATGAACTCCTTTTCAACAAACCAAAACCAGAGTAAACTAGGTTTTATGAATTATACAAGTAAATATCAAAAGTGAATAAAATGATATGGGATCGTGGTGCACAATACAATTACCTAATTTGTTAAATTTTATTTAATCATCAACTTACAAAAAAAATTACATCTTTCTTTTTCGTAATAAATCTGTCTGTACTTTATGCGCCGTCTGTCAGTCAGGTCAGTGTTACCAATAGTTAGGTACACCTAATTATTCCCACAAGGCCGTCCTGGTCAGTCGTCTGTCCCAGATGACTCGTAGTCGATAGCATCAGCAACTCAAGGTTTCATCATATAAGTGGAGCTACAGGTGGGATGGGCTCCTTCACCTTGACCAATCCTCTGGAGATCATAGCGGTCATTCCTCTTCTTCTTCACGACTCTATTACTAGGACTCTAGTCCTAAGTAATGAGAAGCAGCTTGTAGCCCTGAACAAATTGGGTCCTCTTGATAGCAACAAGATTGCATACTTCATATTCTCTCGAGTTTTCTTGTCTTCTGTATGTTCTCTCTTGCTTTCTTCTTCAAGTCTGGTCGTCCATCACAGGAAAATTTAAGATTCTCTTCATTAATTAAATTGTAGATAGCTTAATTTTTATTACAAATTTTGACACCTATTAATAATTCAAAAGGTGACATCATTATGCTTCTTTGAAATGAACCATTTAAGCATCTCTGCATATTATTGACGTGCTTGTACCAGTTAGGAGAATCATCTGCTGATAATTTACTTAGAACATCAATTATTATCTGATGGACTCTCTCAACCTGTCCATTTCATCCATATTGGCCAGTAGTCATGGTAGTACTTCTGTCACTAATCTACTTCTGTGGAGCGCGAAAGTGAGTGGAATCCCTCTTCGGCTCCTCAGCGAAGAAGGCGAGGTGGGCGGCGCGGATACGAATCTCCCGTTGTGGCGGTAAGTATAAAGATGTTTTCAACGGGTCGTCCACTGAGAGCGTCAGCATGTTTCATCCTTGTTCCAGGTCCGTGTTCTATAGTGTAATTATTCTCTTCCGGCAACAGAGCCCAGCGTGCTACTCTTAAGTCTTTTTTTCTTTAAAGTCGTTATCAGGGCAGAGCAGTTAGTGATGATTTTGAAACGATTTCTAAGCAGATAAACTCTGAATTTCTTGACAGCTTCAACAATAGCTAAAATTTCTAAATAGTATCTATGATACTTCTTTTCTACAGGTGAATTCTTCCCACTCATGTAGTAAACTGAATGCATCTTATTATCTTTCAGGAGTATTTGTAACGAATAATACAGCTTCATAGCCGTCAGCACTTTCATCAAGTTAGAGTCCGGTTTTCAAGTCTTGATTGTAGATCCACAAAACTGGTGATTGGTGCCTAATAGCTCTGAGCGTCTCAACTGCCTTTTTACATTCTAGGTCGGAGCTGAAAACAATAATTTGGTCATTTTTTAACTCAAAAAGTTGGTTAATGGCCTTGCTATAAGAGAAAAATTTTTAATAAACTTTCTGAAATATGCTGTAAGTTCAAGAAATTATTGTAGAGTCTTAATATTGTGTGGGGTTGGAAAACGAGCAACAGTAGTCACTTTTTCGTTTGATGGACTGATTTTACCATCCTCAATGATATAGCCCAAATAGTTAATTTTCTTCTGCATAAATTGACATTTACTCCAATTACATGTTAGTCCATATTCTTCAGCTTCGTATATAACTTTTTCTCAATAACTTTGGGAAATTTAAAAGGCACAATCAGGTCATCTAAATAGGTCAATACCACACCATCCAAGATCAGGTCCTGAAATACATCATTCACAAATCTCTGGAACACCAGAAGGTCCAACGGAGAAACCAACAGACATTTTTTTAAATCTAATTGGGCACGGAGTCACAAATGATGTATACTTCTGGCTGTCCTTGCAAACATTCACATGAAAAAATCAGTTTTTCATGTCCAATGTAACGTAACTGTAAACATTGTAACGTCTTTCAATATTTCTATCTGTTCTGCTATAAGTGGAAGCAGAAATCTCTCTTTGATTATCTTTTTGTTCAGTGTTCGATAGCCGACACGCAGTCGTTACCTTTTTTCTTCTTTTTTGCCAGTATTATTGGACTTGCAAAGTCTGAATTACTTGGTTTAATTACACCATCCTTTAGCAATTCATTAATTTGTTTATCAACAATAAACATACAATAGACAGTTATTCTTCACCAAAAAATTAATCTTTTAGAAGTACGAATTATCTTTTTAGAATAAGGTTGGAAATCAGTCTAGCATAGTAGGCAGCGGATTGACTGACCGTTGACCCGCTTGCTGTCCATGAATGACCTTTACCACGTATAGGTGAGGCATTGGTTTGTCTTGCTTCAAAAGCAACAGTTAATTGGTACACTTGAAAGTGAAAGTAAACCAAAATTAGACATCCTCTACATCTAGTCATTATTACATATACATTAATTGTTGAGTTAATATTTATAGTACCATATTATTTAAAATTAACTTGTCAAATTTTTTTATTTCCATGACGTAACTGTCACCTTTATATGTATATTTCATTTATGATAATTGTTAGTTTAAATCAAATTCTATTGCATAGCTTCTATCGCGGGCTTTTAGCGCGGCGACTGAATCAAGAAATTCCGTAACGAAAATAACCTGACACCCCCACTACGCCTACTATGTAGCTCGCGTTCATCACATTCACACGTTGCGCTGGTGTAGTGATTGTGAATAAACGTGCGGCGTGACGTCGCACTGCATGAGCATCATGAAAAGTCTGCCCATCTCTCTTTCACGCGGTCTAGCTTAAGTTAATGTTTTGCTTTTGTTAATGTTTATAAATATAGCGTGGTCTTATTTTTATTATTGTTTTAATATTAAATTATTATTGTCTAATTGTAATTGCATAAGTTGATAAAAAATGCTTTGCAATAGCTTTACCGCGGCAGTCCCCGAGTGCCACATTTTTGTTTTTGAACTAATATTGTCGACGTTATTTACTTATATTTAACTACTTACTTAATATTACATTATTTTTGACAATATGGAAAATTAGTACATAATTTGGTATGTTTTCTAATTAATTTCAAAGCTACTCTTCATTAATTAAACTGTGATTCAATATTAGTAGTAAGTAGTTAGTGTGTAAGAATAAAGAATGGTTTTGGTCAGTCACTGAAGTTTCGTTAATAAAGCTTTGTTTAAAATATTCTTTTTTTTATTTAAATTACATAGATGTAAGAAAATTCAATATAAGACGTTCAAGAAATATTATGGTATAATAATTATACTATATATAATTAAAATCAGGTATAATTATTAATTTTGCAGCAAAATTATTTTAGTTCAACAAATACAAAATCCATTTATTTTATAGATTAATAGGTTTACACTAATTTCATAATAATATCTTCAGATGTGCGAATAATAACTAAATATTCCTTTGCCAGCGACTCTATCTCGTCGTGTACCTATTAATTAGAAAAGCATGAGTTATTGTGTAATATAAAATAATAAAGATTGGCTTAATGAACCAACAAATAATAACACAATTTAGACTTATAATTGTACAATTATTAAAATACACATTTAAATTCCCAAAAATGTAGCACCGTCCTACCTATTTCTGTTGCGAAACAGTCATGTGTTCCAGTTTCATGAATGGTACGGCTGTTCTACAAAACATTTGAGACTTTAAACTCATGTCTAAAGGTGGGTATCGAAATGTCGCCATTCCACTGTTAAATATTGCGAATTCACACCAAGCCGTAAATTCGTTAATCGATTTAGTGAAATAGTATTGCCCGTTTATAAATTTCTTAGAAGGGTACAAAACTTTTTTTTTATGATTGAAGAATTACTGCTGGCCGGGAGGCCTTTCCAGTTTCACCAGGACCGGTGGGCGAGCAAAGGCAGGAGGAGTGGGATTTGCTAACAGCTGTCCGAGCGCCTCCGAAGGAGACCTAACAACTCAAGAGGAACTGCTTCGCGAATGAATCTACTACCGGATCGGAATCGCGACCCGCTGAGAAGATCCGACTAGAAACTCAGCGGGCTGATGCATGTGTTAGGTTGCACGTCGATCTCTTTGTAGAGTTCGACGAGTACAGTTACCGGGGTCCCTAAGCTTGCTCCTAGTGTTAGAGCTGAAGGCGTCTAATGCAAAGGTTATTGGATCTGATGGATCTGTAAGGACGTGAAGTAGAAAACTGTTTGGCGTATGGTTGTTGATGGTCGGCGAGCTCTGCGAGTAATAAATCAGCTAGCGAGAGGTGCGCCATAGCGGGCGGTCCGCGCGGCTGCAGTGTGGCCAGCGAGGCTCGTGCCAGCGCGCACCACGCCGCCCCCGTCTCGCCCGCGCGCCCTCCGCTCAGTAACACACGCACGCAGCCCGCTCCGTCAACCTCCTATCAAATATATACATATTGGTACAATGCAACTATTATTGGTCCGTCGACAAATCTATTAGTTTATTAAATTATTTTGTCTATCAAAACAAGAAACTTGAGCGGCTACAAAATTTCTGTATAAGATTCATATTTGGGTTACGGAAATATGATCATGTATCTGAATTTCGCACTAAACTCAAGTGGTTACCAATTCACCTTCACGGCAATACTCATGGCCTTTCATTACTATACTGTACTCTCTTTAACCCCTATACCCCCACATATCTCAAAGATCGTTTCGAGTTCCTAGGTGATACGCAAAATTTTTCCCTGAGATCATCAGATATCCTGAGACTGAAAATGCCGGCGCATTTATCATCATTCTTCGATAATGCTTTCACCGTCCAGGCGATTCGATTGTGGAATGCTCTGCCGGATGCAGTGAGAAGTGCTCCAACTTAAAACTGTTTTAAAAGAATGGAAGAATGAAAGTTTAGAAGTCGTCGTGGCCTAACAGGTAAGACGCCCGGTGCATTCGTGTTGAGCGATGCACCGGTGTTCGAATCTCAGGCGGGTACCAATTTTTCTAATGAAATACGTACTCAACAAATGTTCACGATTGATTTCGATTGATTTCTACGGTGAAGGAATAACATCGTGTAATAAAAATCAAACCCGCAAAATTATAATTTGCGTAATTACTGGTGGTAGGACCTCTTGTGAGTCCGCGTGGGTCGGTACCACCACCCTGCCTATTTCTGCTGTGAAGCAGTAATGCGTTTCGGTTTGAAGGGTGGGGCAGCCGTTGTAACTATACTTGAGACCTTAGAACTTATATCTCAAGGTGGGTGGCGCATTTACGTTGTGGATGTCTATGGGCTCCAGTAACCACTTAACACAAGGTGGGCTGTGAGCTGGTCCACCCATCTAGGCAATAAAAAAAAAATTGAATTCGATTATATTTTTGAAATAATAAAATTATACAAATTCAAGGTCAAAAGAATTAACATTTGATAACGATTGATATAAGAAGGATTAAAAATATAGGTACATACAAATATCCTATATGCGGACCCAATTATTATCAGTAACTTAATAATATTTCTACTTAATAATTATTACTACTACTTAATAATATTTCTTCTACCTTCGTAGGAATACTAGAATATTATGTCTCCTATTCAATATCCTACATAAGCCCACTTCTCCCTTATATTTACGTGAGCGATTCTCTTTCATTCGTTCTCCTGATGCTCCCTGCAGGTCAAACCAACGTTCTGTTTTGTTATTCCCTTCCCACAAAACTAATTTCTATTCTCACTCCTTTACTGTGCACGCGGTCAGACTGTGGAATTCGTTGCCGGCTGACATCCGAGTTTGCAAGTCTGTTTCTGTTTTTAAATACAAGGTCAAACAATTTTACCTCTCATCAACCGAATGATCATGGTTCTATACTCTTCGCATATACGAGTGTTACTGTGTCACTTATAATATTTGCTATGTGTATGTGCTATAATTCTCATGTTGTATTTGTTATTTTAGTTATGTGTTATTTGTTCTACACACACTCATCACTTTTTATTATTATTCTCATTATCCTCTCGCAGGTCTGCTGGAAGAGATTTCTCAAAGAAATAAGCAGTGCCTTTGTAAATAATTTTCCTATTACTCTGTACTGTGTCTTGTTCTCTGTGTGTACATAAATAAAAAAAAATAAAAAATAAAAAAAAAATTGAAAAGATTATAAAACATTCATGCATTCTTTAACATTTGAATGTAAACACGTGCTATTAGCTATTATCGCATTTTGTTAATCAATAATCATGTTTAAATTTCAAAACATGGACTTTTGCCCTTAGATTAAATTACGTGAACTACCTGAAACGGAGCGGAAAAAAAATTAACTGAAGGATTCGTTTGTGATTTACACAATATGAAAAGTTTAAATCTTATAGCGAATTACTATCACCTCACCATGCTTTTTTTTTCCTACCTATGCTGATAGCCTTGAGAGGCTATTTCGGCTTCGCCCTAACGTTTTTAGGTGAGCTCGCGGGGCTCAACCGGAGAGTTGCTAACACTGACCCTAGCAAGAGCAGTGCTTCGCAGAATCTACCACCGGATCGGAAACGCGACCCACTGAGAAGATCCGGCCAGAAACTCAGTGGGCTGTGTCTATGGGTTAGTTCGCTCGTCGAGCCCTTCGTCGCAAGCGACGAGTTCGACTAGGACGGTGGAGGACGGTGGTCGAGGACGGTGACCGGTGCTTGTGGTGCCTAAAAGCACCGTTAATGGATCAGGAGGATCCGTAATGACGTGCTTTGGGCGACGTCGACGGTTTACCATTCGGTTTACTGGGTCGGGTATGTAGTTTCCAGCGGCTACGATAAGAGGGTTCTCATGTCGTGCTGTCTTCTCAAAATGGCGCAGCGATGCCGACTGTAGATACTTACTAAATGAGTCGAGCTCCAGGTCATCGTGGAGATCCACGTTCCTAAGGAACCATGGCGCTCCGACGGCTATCCTGCAGAATCGGGATTGAATAACCTGAAGGGATTTCAAGTGGGTGCGGGCTACGTGAGCGAACACTACGCTTGCATACGTCATGATGGGGCGTATACAAGTTTTGTAGAGAGTTACCTTATTGCGGAGGGACAGTTTGCTTCGACTACAAAGCATTGGGTAGAGTCGTCCTAGTATAAACGCGGCGCGGTCGCGTACCGTTTTTATATGGGGACGGAATGTCATCCCTCTGTCGAGGGTGACGCCAGGATATTTGACCTTCGAGGCCCACGGTATGGGCTGGCCAAAGAGAGTGATGGGGCTAACGGCGGAGGTGTTTGCGCGCCTACTACGGAGTGGGATGCTCGAAGTGGTGTTCGGAGGGCGACCCCTTTTGAAGAGCACCGCTGTGCTTTTCGTGGGGTTTATGTCTATTCGCCACTTCCGGAACCACAGTCCCATGATGGCTACTGCGATTTGGAGTCGCCGATGAAGCAACGACATCTTCCTACACGAGTAGTAGATAGCCGTGTCATCGGCGAAGAGGGCTAGATGGGTCTCCGGAGACCGGGGTATATCATTGATATACAAACTAAATAATAACGGGGAGAGCGCGGAGCTTTGCGGGACTCCGGCAGTCAGTTGACGGGGACGAGAACGAGTTCCCTCTACTCGATATC